ATATAATATATATATTAGCTTCTTTTATTCTTCATTATTAATGAAGTTTTATATACCTTATTATGTTTTTTTTATTTTATTGGTACATTTTAGATATCCGTGATGGTCACATTCATCGTAGGGAATTTGTACCTGTAAATGATATGTCTTGCTTCTTTTTTCTCCATTCCCCTCCTCTGCCTTCAACCTCTCTTCCCATCCTTATTTACAAAAGCTTTATTTTCACTTTTTTCCCCTTCTGTTCTCTTTTTTTTTCCTTGTCTCTTCTTTCCTTTTCCCCTCTCTCCTCCCTAATTCCCCTTCCCATTTGAACATCTTCTTATTTCCCAATATCTATTATACATTTTGGTCCTTATTTATACTTTCAACTTCTCACACCAGAGAAACAATGCAGTATTTAAACATGTGTGTCTGATTTATTTCAGTCAAGAGTATCTGCCCATTCTTCTCATACTTTTTATTCTTTTTCCTGTGTTTGCGTTTACATTTCTAAGTTTCACTAGCTGCATGGCTTGAATTAACTCTTCACTCTGTATATGTGTTATTTTCTTTGTATCTGTGTTAGGATTTATTCCTTTTATAGGTTTTTTTATTCTCACTTATGTTTGCTGGCACATTTTTGATTTCCAAGCATAACTCCCCAACCTCCACCCCACTGTCTTCCTAGTGGCCTGAGTTTTTATAGGGGACCATCTTGCACCCCAAACCCTGAACTTAGCTGAGGCTTGGTTCACATCTTCCCCCATTACGGCCTCCTTGCCAGCTCTGCAAAATTTTTTATTGAAAAACCAACAAGCCAGTGTGGGAGATGCATAATTGGGCTTCTAAGTCCACATCCTTACTGTGTTAAGGCTATAGGGATTCCCTTGAACACCCACATCTCTGCAGGAGGGCCACCCTGAAGCAAAAGATTTTACCTCCTTTCATCCTAATCCTAAAGCCCCCTACTACAGAAAATAGGCTTCAATACAATTATCGAATTCTGGCTTTACTCACTAGATTTAATCATAACAATGTAAAGTTTATTGGGCTTTTCCTGTCAGCCATCACCATGCAGGTATGGTGGGAGAAGCATTTTAAAAATAATAGATGTGAATAGTTTCTGAAACAACCTTGAAACAGTTTTTTTTTTTTTTTTTTTTTTTTT